GTGTGACACAGGTGACACAGAACAGCATACGCGGTTTACGTCCAGCGGATATTCTCCAAAATGGCACCAGGGTGATGCGGAGGAGACTAATTGTTGTATAAAGTCGTTATTTTTTTTTCTTTTGCGCACAAAAAGTATTCCCGTAGCTTCGTATAATTGCGGATGAACCACTGATGTCACATGGATTATTTTACCGATCTCCTTGCTACGTTTCTGGACTTGGGAACATTTCAGTTGCGTTGCTGTCTATGGGAGGGTCAGACAGCTCTCAGATTCCATCAAAAATATCTTAATTTGTGTTCCGAAGATGAACGAAGGTCTTACGGGTTTGAAACGACATGAGGGTGAGTAATTAATGACATAATTTTCATTTTTGGGTGAACTAACCCTTTAATATTTTTTGTGGAAACCTTGATTAGCTTTTTTCAGGATTTTAAATAAACAAAGTTCAAATAAACAGCATTCATTTGAAACAGAATATTTTTGTAACAATATAAAAGTGTTTATTGTCACTTTTAATCGATTTAATGCAACCTTGCTGAATTAAAGGATTAACTTATTTTAAATATATATATACTGTATATATATATTTTTTTTTAAAGTACTTACCACAAACTTTGGAACGGTAGTGTATATAGTATGTATGCTGGAGACAAGTATGAAGTAAGCCAGTGTTGAGGCATAAAATGTTCATGCTGCTGCATTCACCTTCTCATGATCCCCCTGGAAGAGCTGCAGGAAGCTGGCCTGAGTGCCTGTGGTTCCTTTGACGCCCCGGAAGCGCAGGTCCTCTCTTGCACGCTGAAGATTACGTATGTCCATGACCAGATCCTGCAGCCACAGACAAGCACGCTTCCCGACTGTAGTCAGCTGAGCTGGTCTGAGAAAAAGATGGGGACGAGGAGAGGGACAATAAAACCCAAAACCAGCCTAGTATTGTTGTTTTGAATGAAGAAAAGTTCAAAAGAACATGAAAAATCATAATGTTGTGCAGGTTACAACATTAAGAGTGAATGTTTAAGGGTGATTGGGACGTGTCAGAGATGACAAGAATAGAAGACAAGGAGAAAGAAAACAAAACGGTAGAAAAGTTAATTTTATATGCACACTCTAAACATGCTTTAATGTCTAACATCTAACTATTTGTTTGTGAGGTCTGGTACATGCACTGAACTCTGAATTCACTCACTGATAATGGGAGAAGCCTAAAGTCGGCAGGTCAGCATATTTCTCTGCAAAGTTAGCCAGCCTGTCTATGACACGAGCCAGCTATAAGAGAGAGAACATTTACTGCAGAGAATGGGAATTATGCACTGGAAATAAAATAAACCCATCTGAAATAAAAATAACTGAAACCTAAACAGTAATATAAAAAAAAATCCCAAAATAAAATTAAAACAAAGGACTAGAATTACCAAATGTTTTACTGAATGTAAAATTTGCATTTAATAAGACTTAATGATTAATGCATTATTTTATTATTGGATTTAATTAATTTTAAACATATTTATTTGTCCATTTGAAAAGTGATGATATATTTAATACTTGTTACATTTAACTACTTTTTTGAAAATAAATTAAATAAACAGTTTTACACACATCTATTTATTTGTCAAATCTGAACCTGTGATTATTAACATTTCTCATGAATACAGTACAAATTTATTTTATTTTTAAATGGTACTTCTAAGCATCAGTTGTTTTGATTGACATGGTAAATATTAGAAAGTAGCAGGATACCTTGGGTAGCAGGATGTCAAATCCATCACGCAGCATTATCAGATCCTTCAGATTAAACATACACACACACATTTAATAAGACAATTTTCAACATTTTAAAATAAAATTGACTTTAAAACAACATTCTGTTCTTGTGAGGATTTTTCATGGTGGCTAATATATACCCTGCTATTAATTGCAACATTAAAATAAAAAAATGGATTTAATTCATGTTCTCTCTATAGCCATTCTGCTCAGAAAATTCCAGAAGTCCATGGAGTTCAATCAATAGTAACAAAAGTAAGATACTGACATGGTAATATTTTGGCCTCACCGTATTGTCTCCCACATAACAGGAAGTGGCGCCCAAGTGGATGATGGGAGCAGCGGTGGGACAGCAGTGAGCAAACGTGTGCACGTGAGCCATGACATCATGCCTCAACTTCCTCTCCTCCTCTGCAGCCATGACAAAATCAATGTCCTCCAAGTGAGACTCCATCTCACTCACCTGGGCATCGGTTATGGGGAGACCCAATTCCTGCAGAGAAGACATTACAGCGATGAAGAGATGTATTGAAGCCGCGGTGAAACGGAAGTAGCAAAAGATCTTTTCAGTATGATCAATATTTAACTGTGCATTCTCATTTCTATTACATTTACATTACATTTAACATGTAGAGTCTGGACCAATCAGACACACAATTTTTTTAGTTATATTTAACAAATACTCTGTAACACCCCTCAGTCAACAAACCAACTATGAGGGTCTATGGACCCTTCCCCCGAAATGCATCTAACACCTCAGAAAGGCAGAACAGGCCTCTGGTTCCATGGCAACCAATGCTGATATCACTGGTTTTATTGCCCAAAGGAATGCGGGCAGAGAAACTCACAATTCATTTACCCTTAGGAAAGACACGCAATGTCCATAAAAATGGACTCTTCTCTAATTAATTCATAGAAAAACCTTTCTGTGAATGAACACACATCTCCTCAGGACATTGTGTATACCATTACTGTTCTTGTATATTGTCTTTTGAATTGCATACTGTTTTGTGTGTGTGTTAGGATAGATCACTATTTAATATAACCCCACCGATACCATGTTCGGTCTCTTTGAATTTGTCTTCTGATGATCTAAACGAGAGTGTATATTATATGTTGGTACATAGGCAACATATTAGTGTTCTAAGAATCTTTAGTACTTTTGCATCAACACCCAATCGAAAATTACCATGCTCTCACACAAAGGGTCATAAAACTCCCCAGTATTTCCAAACCCCCACTTGAAATTTCAGCCTTTCTCATTGGACAAGCCCATCCTGAGAGGCATGAATCTTCTCAGACCTTAAAAGGCTCACGCACAGTTCCGCCCATGTTCTTGTTGTTCTTCTTCTGCTAAGAAGCGTGTTGGAGCCTGAGCCGGTGCGGGCGTGCCCCGTTGGCTCCAACACATAGTCAGTCAGTCTGCGGCTATGTTAGATTCTGAGAAGATGAGGATGTGAGCTAGCACCCCTCTAAGGACACCCGAAGTCTGCGCCAGGCCTCGGGCCTTGACTTTCCATTCACCAAGATCATCTGACTCAAACTGGTTCTTTTTCATCAACCAACTTCAGCAAAGATCAACTTGAGCCTTCAGATTGCATCAGGACTCTCTTTCAGACAGACAAGACGTGCAAGTATCAAACTTAGT